AACATCACAGAAACTTACATCATACCAGAGTCCTGCACCGACGATTTGACACTGGACCGTAAAGCCTAGTTTACTGTCCAGCATCAAATCTGACTCTCTGCCTCACGATGCAGAGCGTCTATGGCCACCTGAACCTCCTATGCAGTCAAAATGATGCAGACAACAGAGGAAGCAACTCAAGGGCTGTGATTGGTCCTCTCTGCATACATTTCCTGGAGTACATACATTCCCTGTGCTCCGCTTTCTTTTGTTTCAATATACATTGAGTAATAATGTGTTTAATTCAGCTTTGCACACATTTGCTTACATTTTACATGAACGAAACTCAAAACCACATGCCTCATTTGCATAAACTATAAGTGCTGAAAAAAACAGCTCACTTTTTGTGCCCTGTTGCCCTGGTTCAGCTTCTGTCGGACTGAAGGACACGTGTTCTTTCTGTGACAGAGGATGTGCTGATGATGGTGAGTCTGTTCTGTGCGTCTATCGTGTTCGAGACGGTTCAGGTTAAAATTTACAAGAACGCCAGGTTTAAATCGTTGCCTCCTCGCATTGTGGCAGTGAATTACTTTGTGGTGCATTGACCTCGACGCAGATCCATAAATCCAGAAATTGGGCTTCAGGAGCACTCCAAAAAAATCTGCCAAAATCGTGTCGTCTGAGATCATGATTTTCGGTCCAAAACGATAGATCGTTCAGTCTTATGTCACAGTAACATCACGTGACCACTCTGAGGAAGACCTCAGGGAGAAGTCGAAACAGGCATGAAAACGAACTCTTCGTCTGAAAAAATAACTTAATAACATAGTTTTAACATCGATTAGTATCTGACTTTTGATACTTTTGACAACCCTCACTACTACATGAACTGCACAGCCCTACTCGGAGGTGATGTAATTTGAATACCTCATGCTTACCAGGCATAGATGGACTCGTGTATGTTTTGATGTATTTAGATAAAAATCCAACTGTTTTTAGAGGCAAAACAAGCTATTTATATTTCACAAACTACTCTGAGCAGCTATACGCATGTTATTTTTATCACTGTAAGGTTTAAATTCTGTTTCATTACGGCTCAGTGTCTCTGATGTTATAAAGCGGAGAGGTATTTTGAGTGTAGATTTTTAGCTTTTTTACCTGGCTCCGCTCCAGCAAAACTCTCTAAGCCTCAGAAATGTGACTTCAGGGAAACGGGCCAGCTGCAGCGGTCCAGATTATCTCTGAGCTCGGGTGGAAATGCTCAGTTTTAAAGGAGACACAGAGGTGCTGATTGTAATAAAACCTGGATCTTAATACACGGCTGACCACTGAGACCTGCCCTGGTTTAATACTGCGCTGGAGCAAAGGGAAGAGCTCCCGTCTGTTTAAAAGTTATATAAATGAGAAATGGATGAACTTAAGCAGAGTCATGCCAGTGGTTTGAAGAGTAGAAATACTGCATTTATTCTTATGCGGCAAATTAAAGAGTAGGTTAAGAGTGTCATTGTGTTAAACTGTATAATCTTCAGAGGATTGTCTAGAGAAATCTTGATTAAAAAATGTTCCAATCTTATGTGACGTCCAAGACAAGACCAAGACTTTTAAAGATCGAGACCGAGACAAGAGCAAGACCACGGCCCATTGATACCAAATCGAGACCAGCTTTGTCATTTCCTACATTTATTTGTATTTTACAGTCATTTTGGCACATATGTTTTTAAAAATCTATCCCCATGTGATCTGATTAATGTTTATTTAAACTTAAAATTAGCCAAGCAAACTGTACTGCACTGAAACAATCTGTGCCCCTTTTTGGGACCCTGACCGACAGTTTGAGAACCTCTTCTTTAATCCCACTTACACTGGCACTTTACAGAAAACAACTTTATACTAAAGAAAGTTTTTTTTTTGTTTTTTGTTTTTCAAGTTCATAACGTTTGCAGTTACAGTATCGTACTGGCTTTGCACTGATATTTTAGCCTGATTCATCAGCTGGTTTCACTTCTTGGAAACCGTCTGACCTCGAAGCATTAGGATTCGTTTGCTTGATGGTATGCGGGTACTTTTTAAAATTTAACCAATTGCTGCTATTTAGCCGTGACCTTTGTAATGCGCTGCTATTGGGCCTAACTGGTATATTAAGCTTTTCCCAAATCCCATAAGAAGAAGGGCAATAACGTCTTTCTCCTTGAGAAAATTCACCAAACATTCTTTTTGTTCCTGCTTTAAATCCTCGATCTTGGGAATCATGGACAACACAGAATGTATGGCTCTTCGCTGATTGGCTGGTGCCCGGACTTGCACTTCGGGGTTTTTTGCGAACCGTCTAGTGTATTCTTTTTCTTGGCCCTTAGACTTCCAGGTGAATTGGCCCAAATTACCTTGCATCAATAAAAATATTTTTTTACTGAAAGTTTTTTGAAAATCTGTCTTGATAAAGCAAATATTTCATATTTAGTGTGTGGTTTTAAGGATCTTAGCCTGAATAAAGTCTGATGGCTCATTCTAACATGTTAAACGTGCAGACATTTCAATTATTCACTGTACTGAGCACCAGTCTACGACCCTCGATCAGCCCTCTGCTTCATCTGTGTTTAGATTTGTGGCCCTTGATGAAAAACGTTTGGACACCCCTGCTCTACGCATTTACCGGTCGTAATGAAATATGATGTCAGACCTCAAGTCCAAATGTGCTCAAGCCCGAGACAAGACCAAGAAAATATAAAGGCCGGTCTAGAAACCAAGACCGGTCTCGAGTACTACGACACTAGTATCATGCTCAGATAAGTTTGAGTACTCAAACCAATCAATCCACCAACGAGATACCTGTATTTTCAAAAGGAGAAAGCAGAAAGCTGCATCTGTTTACTGCTTTTGGATAATTCTAGCGCTAAATCCCAGAGCAGGATAAATTCTGACTGCGGATGCTAAAAACCTGACAGAAAAGTGCTAACACAGACTTTGTTTATGATGCGTAATTAGCCATTTGCTCCGTGGATGATGGCGTTTTTACAGGACATTTATACACTCACCCTCCCCTCAGGCCATGTATCTACTGGATTACATTTTTAAAAGTGTATCAGAACAACCCTAATGATGAGAAACAATTGGATTTTTGAGTAAAAGTTGTTCAGCTGCACATTTAGAAAGGTGAATATTTACATTTACAGGCTCTTATCAACAGAATTTCTTGCATTAACCAGCTGACATGGAGTAAATATAGTAAATAATTCGCATACAGATATCCCTAGAAAGTGCTTACAGTTGTGCAAAGTACTTTTTTCTTTTATTTCTTTATAATCTTAGACTCTTCCTATTGTTTTATTCCGTTTTTGCTGACGTAAAGGCGGGAAAGGCTGTACTCTTCTGCTCTGTTACGGTTTATTGTGGTTGCGTCTGGAGACTCAATCATTTCCACTCAGACACTGCAATCTGTTACACGTCTTTGCACACGGCCCACAGCGTCCTGAATCTTTCATACGTAAGAGACCGTAGCGATGTCTTTCTTGTGCACTGTACAATCATTTACTTAGTCCACTCCCTCAATCTGAGCCGTGAGTGCTTTCTCTTCACGCCAACAACTTCTACGGCTGGTTTGGGCTTTTTTTTCAACCCCAAAATGCGCACAACAGGTCAAATCTTCCAGCTAAGATAATCCTAACCAGCACGAGCTCAGGATCTGGAGTGTCTGGGTGCTGTTCTGACAGAGTAACCCAGATTATGAAACAATGGGGCATATACAGAGGTCAAACTTCTCCTCTTTTATATTTTGTCTGTTTTACTCTTGACATACAAGAGTAAACCTGAAGTCCTTTTCTCACTGTGTCTCTTTATTGTCTGATTATGTGGACAGGTATTAATGTCCTTGGTGTTTACATTTATTCAACAGCATGGTTTAAAGTAAGTTAAGAATATGATTTAAATTGAGGCAAGGCAAGTACTGTATTTTTTGGACTTTAAATTGCACCAGCCAAAAAAATGCGTAATGAAGATGCTTTTTTTGGAGAATTTATTTTATAAAATCAGTGACCAGGAACCGACATTTCATCTTAAAAGGCAAGTTTTAGTAATAACGGTAGAAGTAGAACAATCCCCTTCTTTCTTCCCCTCCCCACACTCTCTCCTTTGAGAACAACAGGCTGAGCAGGCGTCTGCTATGTTACCGTAACATATTCACAGCTATTCAGAGCATAAACAATATGACATAACAAGTTTACCAAACTCTCCATCTCACTCCAAATCTCTAAATCCTTTCAATTCTTTATCCTCGGTGTCACTTCTGAGCAACTCCCATAGCACTATAATAAATTATTAGAGATACATGGCAACTCAGCGACCTCCGGAGGTAAACAGAGCGCCGCCTCGTCTGCTGCGTAGCTGTCGTCAGACTCAGCATCAGTTCCAGTTAGAATTTTTCCGGCCTTTCTGAATCCCGACAGGATGGTTTTGGTGTCACTGAAGTCCAGGCTTTGTCCATTTATCCAGTGACTTCCAGGAAAGTTTCATGGTGCACACTCCCGGTTGCCGTGGAGCTCTGTTCTCCATCCTCACTTTCCACCAGTCCCTCACAAGTTTCTCACTCACTCCAAATTTTCTTTCTGCTGTTTTATTGCTGTTTTTGGCTGAATATTTCACTACTTGCAGCAGGACAGAGGCTTTTTCTACAGGACACGTGCATTAGAGCGAAGTGACAGTGGTACAATAGTAGCAGATACTGGCACACGAGCCTAGAGCCTCTCACGGCTGTTAGTGTGAACATTTTCATATACAAGTCACACTCACACTGTGAGTATAAGTTGCAGGAAACACCCAAACCATGAAAAAAACTGTGACTTAGAGTCTGAAAAATACCATAGTAACAGTGTTTAAGTTGGGATCATTCTCTAGGAAAAGAATGCAAGTCAGTGTAATGTCCTTAAGAAACATGGACACACAACATGAGTGCTGTTGTGTGTGATTTCTTGATGTACAGGGACTTTCTAAAGATTATTTGTCATTGTGAATCTTTTCTCTGTTTGTAGGCGAAGCGTCTGAAACGACAGGAGCTGTTTGCCAAAGAGGGCCTGACGTGGCAGAAAATCATCAACTTCTGCAGTGAACATCAGGAGCAGAACCTGAACCAGGAGCTCAGGACGATCCTCCAGGCCGCCAAGCAGATCGGTAACTACCTCCTCTTTAAACCAGGAGAGGACCACATAACGACAAAACTCCTGTGGTCACGAGGGCTGGAATCTATCTCAAAATAAAAGCAATAATATAAATGTTGTTTTGAAGTTAAGATGATTCAAGATTTGAACGCTGAGCCTTTCCCTTTTAATCCGCTCTTACGATTTTATCTATTTATTCATCATTTAAAGATTTATGTTGGATTGACAAACTGGATATTTTCAAAAAAATACAAAATTTTTGTCACTATCGCCCACCCCTACAGAGTCAGATGTCATGTTTATTATCATTTAGAAACATATGACACATTATTATTTATTGTACCAACAACAGTTTGCGTTTACAGAAGAGTTGAGTGGGATTATCCTGCTTTTGGGCTCAATTATTATAGTTCATTGGGATATTTTCTGAAGCGATATTACAATTTGTGACAGGCAGGTATGTCCTTGGCCTAAGGAATAAACTTTTAACCTCTATTGTCATAACTTTTCCCGTCTTAAATGTCAGCTGTAGCTTTTGGAATTTCAACAACATATTACAGTATGAAAAAAAATGGTCAGTGACATCTGGGGCTATATAATCCTTTCGCTGTTTAGTCGATTAATCGATCAGCGGTGCCTTAGTCAATCGAGATTTGTATTAGTCAACTTTATTTTTTATTTATTTTTTATAATTGATAATAGGGCTGTGTATCATTCAGAAGTTGCTGATACGATACATACTTCAGTACAGTGAACTTACGATTTGATACGATTCAATACAGTATATTTCAATTCGATTCGATACTGTTTAATAAAAAATTAAGGCTAAATCATGGCTGTGATACTAAAAGTTTTTGTTAAATCACTCCTTGTGCCAAGTTAATATGAAATACATCCATTTTAATCCTCAAAACAGTGAAAATGTCAAATGTGTCGCATAAACCTTCCTCTGAACAAAAAAAACTGTTGGGCTGTCAACAAAATAATTGAGTAAAAATACACTTTTGTACACTTTTGGGGACTCGTCATCGACATTGAGCGACTCTCACCTGGCAAAGCTTTTTAAAGTTTTCGGTGTCCTGGTGAACTTTTTCCCACTGGACACTGAAACATATGTTCCTGCTTTGTACACTGTGCACATGGACTCACACTTGTCACGAACGCAACGGAAAGTGTGGAATTTCTTGTACAAGTCATCGTTAAATACACATTTGTGCTTCGGTACGTTGCAGACTGACCGACTGTTTGTGTCTCGCTCCTTCTGCAGAGAGCTACAAGTACCCCTGTTTGACCCCTGTTTGTCCCTGGACACGGACGTTTGGTCACACTACGCTACGCACAGCAACCTACATTCGGTTTGTCGATTAAAATGAACGTAATCGATGAAATTCTTAACGATCGACTAATCATGCCCATCCCTAGCAATAACTAAAAAAAACAATGAGCCACGAGTGTGTTCAGCTGTTATATCAAAAGCCAAAGGTCGACACTTTCATGAATCAAAAGTTTAGAATACATTTTGGTCAACAGTAAACTGGAAAAAACTGGAAAAAGTGTGTTGTTCTAAAACTTTTACTGTTAGTTTATTTGCGTTCCTCTTTACTGAAATCTCTTACACGAAGCACACGAGGACAGTTCTGACTCCTCCTGTGCCTCTGCCGCTCACTCATTAGAAAGAACGGACTAATACTGTTTACCGTGCGTCGTCGTTTCTTTGTTGAGGCGCGGATGCCGCCCTCGGCCCCGAGACTGCAGCTCTAATAAGAAAGCACTTACGAGGACGCTTCGACCACGATGAAACACGCCATTTACGCTCAAACACAAACTGGAGCCACTGCGCCCAAAACATTTTAATTGGTTTAAATCCTTTTCATCTGTTTCTCCTCTCCACAACCTTACCTTTCTCTCTCTCTCTATCACTTCCCTCCTCTCATCCTATGTAATTGTTTTTCACTCTCTTTCTCCCTCTCGAGCCTCCTCTCCTCTCTTCTCTCTCTGTCCCTCCATAACCTTCTCTTTCCTTTATCTCCCTCCCTCTTTTCCTATGTCATTCTCCTCTCTCTTAGCTGGAAGGATCCAGCTATCTCTCCTTTTGCCTCTCTCGTCTCCTCTCTCCTTTCTCTGACCCTTCGTAACCTTCTCTCCTTTCTCTCTCTCTTTCTTAGGTCATTGTCCTCCTCTCTCTTCCTTTCTCCTCTCCCCCTCTCCTTTCTCAATCTTCTCTCTCTCTATTCTTCCATAACCTTCTCTCCTTTCCCTCCCCTTTCTCTCTCTCTCTCTCTCTCTCCCTTCCTCCCTCTTCTTACGTCATTGTCCTCCTCTCTTCTCTTCTTCTCTCTTCCTTTCTCCTCCCCCTTTCTCACTCACCTTTCTCTAACCCTTCTCTTCCCTCTTTTCTTATGTCACTGTCCTCCTCTCTCCTCTCTTCTCCCCCCTCCTTTCTCAGTCTTCTCTCTATTCCTCCATAACCTTCACTCTTTTCTCTCTCTCTCTTTCTCCCTCTCTTTTTATGTCATTGTCCTCTTTTCCTTTCTCCTCTCCCCCTCTTCTTTTTCAGTCTTCTCTCTCTCTATTCCTCCAAAACCCTCTTTCCTTTCTCTCAGTTTTCCTCCCTCTCTTCTTATGTCATTGTCCTCCTCTCTCTTCTCCTCTCTTCCTTTCTCCTCTCCCCTTCTCCTTTCTCACTCCCCTTTCTCTAACACTTCATATCCTTCTCTTTTTCTCTCTCCTTTCCCTCCCTTTTCTCTCTCTCTTCCTCCCTCTTTTCTTATGTCATTGTCCTCCTCTCTCTTCCTTTCTCTTCTCTCCTTCTCCTTTCTCAATGTTCTCTCTCTATTCCTCCGTAACCCTCTTTTCTTTCTCTCCTTCCCCTTTCTTTCTCTCTGTTCTTCCCTCTTTTCTTATGTCATTTTCCTCCTGTCTCTTCTCTTCTCTCATCCTTTCTTCTCTCCCCCTCGCCTTTCTCACTCCGTTTTCTCTAACCCTTCATAACTTTCTCGCCTTTCTCTCTCTTTTCCTCCCTTTCTTCTTAGGTCATTGTTCTCCTCTCTCTTCCCTTTCCTTTCTTTCCCCTCTCCCTCTCTCCTTTCTCAATCTCCTCTCTCTGTTTCTCCATAACCTTCTCTCCTCTCTCTCCTTCTCTTCCTCCCTCTCATCTCATGTCATTGTCCTCCTCTCTTCTCTTCTTCTCTCTTCCTTTCTCCTCTCCCCTTCTCCTTTCTCAGTCCTTCTCTAACCCTCCATAATCTTCTCTCCTTTCTCTCTCCTTTCTCTCTCTCTTTCTCCACCTTTTCTTATGTCATTGTCCTCTCTCTTCTCTTCTTTTCTTTTCTCTTCTCCCCTTCTCCTTTCTCAATCTTCTCTCTCTATTCCTTCATAACCCTCTCTCCTTTCTCTCTTCTTTCCCTCTCCTTCTTTCTCTCTTTCTCCATCTTTTCTTATGTCATTGTCCTCTCTCTTCTCTTCTCTTCTCTTCTCTTCTCCTTTCTCAATCTTCTCTCTCTATTCCTTCATAACCCTCTCTCCTTTCTCTCTGTCCCCCTTTTCTCTCTCTCTTTCTTCCTCTCTTCTAATGTCATTGTCCTCCTCTCTCTTCTCTTCTTCTCTTCCTTTCTCCTCTAACCCTTCATAACTTTCTCTCCTTTCTCTCTCTCTTTCCCCCTACCTTTTTTATGTCATTGTTCTCCTCTCTCTTCTCTTCTTTTCTTTTCTCTTCTCCCCTTCTCCTTTCTCAATCTTCTCTCTCTATTCCTTCATAACCCTCTCTCCTTTCTCTCTTCTTTCCCTCTCCTTCTTTCTCTCTTTCTCCATCTTTCTTTATGTCATTGTCCTCTCTCTTCTTTTCTCTTCTCCCCTTCTCCTTTCTCAATCTTATCTCTCTATTCCTTCATAACCCTCTCTCCTTTCTCTCTGTCCCCCTTTTCTCTCTTTCTCTTTCTTCCTCTCTTCTAATGTCAGTGTCCTCCTCTCTCTCCTCTTCTTCTCTCCTTTCTCTCTCTCCCCCCCTTTCTTTTTATGTCATTGTTCTCCTCTCTCTTCTCCTCTTTCTTTCTCCTCTCCACTCTCTCCTTTTTCACTCCCCTTTCTCTATTCCTCCATAACCTTCTCTCCTTTCTCTCTCTCTTTCTCCCTCTCTGCTTATGCCATTGTCCTCTTGTCCCTTCTCCTCTCCTCTCTTCCTTTCTCTTCTCCCCTTCTCCTTTCTCATTCCTCTCCCTCTATTCCTCCGTAATCTTCTTTCCTTTCTCTCCCTCCCCTTTCTTTCTTTCTCTCTCTTTCTCCCTCTCTTCTTAGGTCATTGTCCTCCTTTCTTCTCTTCCTTTCTCCTCTCCCCTTCTCCTATCTCAGTCCGTTTTCTCTAACCCTTCATAACCTTCTCTCCTTCTTTCTCTCTCTTCTTATGTCATTGTCCTTCTCTTTTCTCCTCTTCTCTCTTCTCCTCTCCTCTTCTCTCTTCCTTTCTCCTCCCCCGCTCACCTTTCTCACTCCATTTTCTCTAATCCTTCATAACTTTCTCTCCTTTCTCTCTTTCTCCCTTTCTTCTTATGCCACTGTCCTCCTCTCTCTTTTCCTCTCCCTTTCTCCTTTCTCAATCCTCTCTCATTTCTCTCTCCTTTCTCTCCCCTTTCTCTCTCTTTTCCTCTCTCTTCTTATGTCATTGTCCTCCTCTCTCTTCCCTTCTATTCCTCTCTCCTCTCCCCCTCTCCTTTCCCAATCTTCTCTCTCTCTATTCCTCCATTACTTTTATTTCTCTCATTTCTCTCTCCTTTCCCTCCCCTTTCTCTCCTTCTCTTCCTCCCTCTCTCCTTATGTCACTGTCCTCCTCTCTCTTCTCCTCTCCCCCTCTCCTTTCTCAGTCCTTTCTCTTTATTCCTCCATAAACTTTCTCTCCTTTCTCTCCCCCTCCTCTCCATTTCTCCTTTCCCTCCATCCCTCTGAATCCACTTCTATCCTTTTCTCACTCCCCACTCTCTATGCCTTAATTTTTTTCTCTCCTTTTCTTTCTCTCTCGTTTTCTTTACCATTATCCTCCTGTCTCTTTCCCTCTGTGTTTCCCTCCCTCGCTGCCCTCTCGATCTCTCCATCCCTCTGCATCTTTCTTCCTTCTCTCCCCCCTCTCTTTTCATCTCTCGTTTTCTCTCTCTCTGCGCGCCATCTCCGTGACATTTTTCCTCTAATTGGACAATTACTTTGCATTTCTCGTTCTGGTTAGGCATGAATTGTTTGGATATTATTTAAATGAGTCGCGCTGACCTTATACACTGAGCTTATGCTTCGCTCGTAGCACTCGCCGGAACATCTGCCGTACGATAAATAGACCCGTCTCATTTAAAAAAAAAAAAAAAAAAAACAAGACCACGGCGATAACGGAAATAAGCTCATTTGCCACGCTCCTAATAATGACGCTAATTAAAACAACCACTAACATCGTATTTAATTGTATCTTAAATCCAGATATCCTTTCCGGTTTGATTTCAAGGCATAAACTCTCCCTCCTTTTCGCAATTACAGCGGTAACCCGGCATCAAAACATTGTTATCGCAGTGGGTATTACTAAGAAGTCTTCAAATGAACTGTCTGGCCTTTTATTTGGAGTAATATTAGCGTTAAGGCAGAAGGAGCAAAAAGGGAAGGAGCTTTGAGACCGGGGTCTGATGAGGTGACGGTAATTATACAGTAGACCAGGGGAGCCCGTGTCTGATCCTGCATATACTTTGATTTGGGATTTAATGAAAAGATTTAAGGACAATTTTTAGGCATATAGAAAGATTTTTTGACTCTTTTGGAAGATTTTGGAAGTAACTTGGACTAATTCGGCGCTTGTAGAAGAGCCACGTCTGACCACTGATGTGACCAACATACTGCAGCATTAGTTTTAGCTTTTGGAAACGTTAAAGGTTGTATGGAGGATTTTTTTTGTTTTCAAATTGTCAATGATAGCATTATAGAGGTGCAGTAGCCTTGTAATTATGATGACCAAAAAAAAGAGAATAAAAATTCATCAACTCTGGACGTGGTGGGGCTAAACATTTGCCAATAGATAACGACACTGCCTCGTTATCTGTGAGCTGACAGGCTGTCAATCAAACTCCCTACGTTTCTAGCGTAACTGACTTGCCTGCGCGCTGCCGTTACGTGGTTTACGTACGACTGTCACGCAGTCCACAGACGCAAGCCGCACAGACGCTGTTTACTCCACCAACGCAACAGTTCTTAGCGGCTTTTTTTTACCTATATCTTCCTCGCAGTTCGCACAAAGTTTGTTGCGAATGGCGACAAGAATCCAGGAGCAGTTCGCCGCAAAAGAAAGTCAGTTTTTGAGGTCGCTGAAAGAAGAAGACAAGGGGAAAAGCAGCGAAGCCAAACTAAGGTGATTCTTGAAGATTCATTCCAGCGATGGCGGCGACTGAAGCAGACGCAGGGTCTAAAGACTGACGCACTGGTCCACAAATTACTCCTGGACAGGAAACTTCTGCTTATTATGAAAACGTACTTTATTTCCAAGAGCTACACAAACGTTTTTCAGGACACGAAAGCGATATCCTATGTCTGAAAACGTAATTTTCAAGGCAAAGAAAGAGTCCGCTTGCTGCTGCGTGTTGTAGCTAAGTTCATTCGCACTGAATCTCCGCGCACTCTTCTCTGCACCCCTTTCCTGCTCCTGTCCCCGCTGCCCGATCCGCTCTTCCCCCTGCTCCTCACTTCTCGTCCGCGCACGAAATGTCCGCGCCCCCCCTCCCCCCGCTCCTCACTTCTCCGTCTTGCCTAACCAACACTGTAGTTAGTTGTTTACAAGTCATGTGCAGCGCACCGGCTGTAAACAAACCTGTTTCTGGCGCAAGTGAGGAGGCGGGAGGAGGCGTTTCTACGTAGGAGCTTTCTTCACGCATGCGCAACATTTGAAAAAGGACAAACAGTCGCTGGATTTCTCGTTCCTTGGAAAATCCTCTATACAACCTTTAAGAGAATTTACTGTTAAAGCTACTGCCTTTTTTTTTTTCTTACTCAGAATTATCGTAAATATGCAGTGTAACTACTAGGGGTGTAACGATATCCAAGTCTCACGATACGATACTGTCACGGTATGAGGCTCACGGTACGATATTTATTGTGATTTTTTGTAGAGATGTAACAATCACCAAAATATCGTGATATCGTATCATCAAAGTTCTCACAATAATATCGTGGATCATCACAATATATCGAATTACAAGTGTCTTTGCTTAAATAAAGAGTTATTTTTATTGATTTAAGTACAATTTTTAGGCATATAGAAAGATTTTTGACTCTTTTGAACATTTTGGACGTAATTTGGATTAATTTGGCGCTTGTAGAAGAGCCACGTCTGACCACTGACTTTTGGAAACTTTAAGAGAATTTACTATTAAAGCTATTTCCTTACTCAGTATTATCGTAAATATGCAGTGTAACTACTAGGAGTGTAACGATATCCAAGTCTCACGATACAATACTGTCATGGTATCGCGTCGTCAAAGTTCTCACAATAATATCGTGGGCCATCACAATATATCAAATTACAAGTCTCTTTGCTTAAATTAAGAGTTATGGTGCAGCAACAGCTAAAAAAACACAGACGGAACTACATAGACCATGATCCTTTGCTCCATTTCAGTGCAGACTACAAGAAGAATTAACAGTTCTAACACTTTTAAGTCTTGTCAACGCTTTTTAAAAGAAAAAAGTAGCATATTAATAGTTTTGATTTAGGAGTGTGGACAATCTTGTGGCAATTACGAGATCTAGCGCCACGAGATCTTGTCCCATCCCTAATTATTATACTTTAAAAATTGCTTCCTCTTCTGTGTCGCTGTCTTCAGACTCTGCATCAGTTGAAGTTAGAATTATTCCGGTCTTTCTGAATCCCGACAGGATGGTTTCAGTGTCACTGAAGTCCAGGCTTTGTTGATCCATCCAGTGACTTCAGGAAAGTTTCATGGTGCATCCTCCCGGTGTCACAAGTTTCTCGCTCTCTCCAAACTTTCTTTCTGCTGCTCGATTATCGTTTTCGGCTGCATATTTCACGACTTGCAGCTTGTAATCTGCAAAATATGTGTTCAGTCTTCTCGGTCGTCTTTATAAGTTTGTTTATTTTTTACATTTTCAGTGTTACAGAATAGGGATGGGAAGAAATTTTCTTAATCGATCGTCGGAAGAATTAACGATCGATTATCGATTAATCATTAACGTTTTTATATTAAAATTATCATCATTATTATTACTATCTGCACTACTAATCTGCATAAATAAATTCAACTTTACGACATATAAACCGTAACGACTCTAGAGCCACATCAATCTGTTTGAGATTATTATGTGTTTAATCCAGTTTTGCGCAACTCTCACAGAAACGAAACTTAAAACCGCATCGCTAATTTGCATAAACTCAGCGAAGATAAAACTACAGCTCTTGTGTCGCTGATGCGGTCAATTTCTGTCGGATTAAAAGACATGACTCAGTTGAATACAGGTTAGTGTGACCAGATTTGCGTTTGTCAAAACCAGGACAGCGTACGGGGGGAGGGAACTCGTCATCGACATTGCGCGACTCTCACCTGGCAAAGCTTTTTCCCACTGGACACCGAAACATATTTGCTGCTTTATACACTGTGCACATGGACTCACACTTGTCCCGAACGGAAAGCGTGGACTTTCTTGTACAAGTCATCGTTGCACATCATTCGCATTTGCACTTCAGTACGCTGCAGACTGACCGACTGTTTGTGTCTCGCTCCTACACGTACTGACCCTATTTGGTCACTCTACGCTACGCACAGCAACCTACATTCGGTTTGTCGATTAAAATGAATGTAATCGATGAAATTCTTAATGATCAATTATCGATTAATCGACTAATCATGCCCATCCCTATTACAGAAGTAACGGTGCGATCGACTGACATGATACAGACAGGACAGAGGCTCTTTCTGCAGGAGACATGTGCAGTAGAGCCAAATGACAGTGGTACAAGAGGAACAGGAGCAGCAGATACTGACACACAAACCTAGAGCGCCCCCTCATGGCTGTCAGTGTGAAAATTTTAATATATAATTTGCACCGGAGTTTAAGTCGCAGGAAACACCCAAACCATGAAAAAAAGTGCGACTTATAGCCCGAAAAATACAATAATGCTGTCATTGTTCGCTTTGTTTTTCCATAAGAGCTAAGAGGTATTTTGCAAAAGTCGACATGTTTGAGCAATCTTGTGATCTCTTCCGGGCACTATTGGAATACTTGTTATGATTAGCAGTACAAGTTTGTCCAAAGCTCAGCCCAAAAGCCTGATATTTGTGATCTAAATATTTAATCTGTTAGTTAATTAGTACCCTATAGAAGTGTAATCCTCCTCCTTTGATTCAATATTTCTCGTTTTTTCAACAGTGGGTTCCGAACATGGACAAGAGGCCATCGAAAGCGCCGGGGTCTTTCTGTTCGAGACCTTCCACAACAAAGACCACGTGGGCACGGAGGAGACCCGTTCTATCAAGCAGATGTTCGGACCCTTCCCCTCCTCCGCCGCCGAAACCGCCTGCTCGTCCATCACCAGGATCGTCGCGAAAGTCGGCGATTCTCGAGTTGAAGAATTCGTCCAGAACCAGAGCTCACGCCACGACCCCAAAAAGGGCTTCTGCTTCGGGCGCAATATCCAGTTTTCACACGAGAAATTCCCGCTGGAGCCTTTGCAGGACTTCCCAGAGAACGGTTTTCGAAGAAGACGACATAACGTTTGATTTTAAGAACTATTTTGCCTATCAAGAAGGCGCGAAAAAGACGCCGAGCGAGAACGGGGCTTCGAGTTCGGGGCAAAGAGAACGCAGTGCGGAGGATGAGAGCGTTTTGAGGACGGAGGTGGCGAAGTATCTGAGCGGAGGGAACATGATTTCGTCCAGCGCGGAGGAGCTGTGCACGTCTCTGTTCGAAATGCTGTCATCGCCGCGGAGCAACGACGAACTGCAAAATGAGGTACGCGCAACACACAGACACTACAAGAAAAAAGTTTACACGTTTTTGATACTTTGCAGCTGGTGTTATCAACTTTCTCTGGGGGGTGTGATGTTGACTGTAAGCACTGTTCTGTCTGAGGCTTGTTTGACTTTAAAGTCTCATGCAAAATCTACTTTTCAGAGCTTTCTACCTTCTAAGAGTGACGTGTGGGCCTTGTATTTGTTGCTGAAGTGTTTTTTTAGATTGATTCAGTGTTTTTTTTAAACAAATTGCAGCGTATTTCTGCCACCCTCCCATGTGACAACGAACTAAAACTGCTACAACGATGACGCGATTGACGTAGCAGAAAGTGCTTTGTGATTTTTGCGATCAAAATTTGGCCCACAGTGGCTCAAGTAGAGTTCTTGTTTACCAACCTGTAGGTGCATTCTGTTATTATGTCTCTGAGCAAGGCACTTCCTAGCAAAGGTGAGGACTTGGACTCGAGTCAGACTTCAGTCACTATTTTTTAGGATTTGACTTGATAAAATAGACTAAGACTTGGACTTGAACATCAGTAACTTGGGACTTGACTTAGACTTGAGGCCTGTGACTTGAGAAGACAATCTAAAAACTGTAAACTTTGTTACTTTGGATGTTACTGAAGTACTGTGAGATGGTATCCTCAAATGTACTACAGTATTATTCAGTACAATACAGTAAAACAGAGGGAACTATAAAGAACTTTTTTATTATCATTTATCATTTAATTTATTTATTTAAGTTATTAAGCACAATTCTTTTCATTCTGAACCGTAATAATTCACACTCTTGTCAAGACGTTTAAAAAGGAGAAAAAAAAACATTTCTACAACTCTTATATAAATATTCATATACCATGACTTTGTAAGTACATGTGACGGGGTTCTATCTTGCTGTAATAACGATGGCGTAGTCAGAAGGATGTTTTTTGAGTGTTTAATAGGTGTTAAAGTTCCCAAATAAAGAAAGTTTGAAGAGTGCTATACAACAAAAAGTGAAACAATAAAGACAAAGTATTTACAATATATACACACACACCAGCAAAAGTCTGCTTAAATCTCTGGTATATTACCTTCCTCTTCCAGGTCCAGGTTTAAACTGACTGAGGGAGGGAGAGTGGCTCTTTTATCCCCCATGACTCCTCCCCCAAGCCAATTAACTAAGAAATTTGGGTTTTCACCCTTAAAACCCAAATTACTTATAACAATGAAATAAGGAAAAAAACAGAAAAATACAGTAAATTAAATGGCCATCTCTCTGCGCCTGTAGCAGCAATAGAAAATGAGAAACTAATATTTTATTATCAACGGTGGTTTTTTGGTGATGACGTCGCAGTGACGTCACATGCGAAGGTCCCGAGCACGAAACCGGAAATAGGAAGTGTCAGGTCAGTGCTCTGTTTGCCAGTGGGGCGTGAGGACAGGGGATGGATAATGCGGAAAGGTAGATGGAAGACGAAGTTATGGAGGTGAAGGATTTGGCAGCGGACTTGTGTGCACCCAAGGCTCCTGCGGTGGTGAGCGGACGGAAAATGTGTAGCGGGGACCGGAGTGGACAGACGGGGAGTGAGCAACAGAGTGGGGTACGGTGTGGAATGAATGAAAACAGGTGGGTAGTTGGCGCGGGCTTGTTCGGGCGTGCTTAAGTAAGCACGCGCTCGGACGGAGCGACTCCGTCACAGTACAATTTAGTTTAAAATCCAAATTCTCTACAGGAATATCCCTCTATAATTGCAAAAATCTAAGCTATATTTGGTACTTTTTTGGTTTAAAGACTTGAAATAACTTGAAGCTCAAATCAGACGACTTGGACTTGACTCGGATTCATGGGCCAGTGACTCGAGACTCGACTTGGACTTGCCTGTATTCGACTTGGGACTTGAGGTCAAAGACTCGAGACTTACTTGAGACTTGCAGAACAACGACTCCGTCCCACCTCTGCTTCCTAGTACGACTTTAGCAGTAGTAGATCTTTCCTCGTGCGAGTGTGTTTGAGTGAAAGAGTGTACAGAGATTGTCCGCCTCGTCACTCAGCCTCCCCAAGGGCAGCTATGACACCGGGAGTCGCTTACCTTCAGAGTTACAAATAATGAACAAATAATGCACCGCGATGCATAATGTGAGTATCCTGAATGAAAGGCTCTATAAAAGGTAGATTTATTACAAACACAGCTCGTTCAAGGCCATGTTTTCGTTCTCTCAGTAGGCTGTACCTGTTGTTGTCCTATGGTTGGATGCTTTCACCGGTATATTACATATTCCTGTTATTGTATCGATCTTGACCTTCACGTATCCCCGAGCTGGAGCTGGAGCAGAGGCCTGTGACACGGAGGGCACGTCGTCCTTGGCCTTTTAAAACCAGAGCTTTAAACACATACCAGACCTCCTCCCTCGTAGATCTGACCTATAACTTCACACTGTAGATGCTTAATGTAAAGAGACTCCTGACATGGACTGGTGCGTGGGGGCTCGGGTTTGCTTTTGTAGTTTGAAGCACGTGTTTTCTTTGCCTCGCGAAATTGGCTCAGCAGTATAGGTACACAATACAGCCAGCGCGCACAGAGGACGATCGAGATTTTAACAGATTTTAATCAAAATCAGAGCAGGAACCACTGCGCTTTCAAACCGAGGAAGCTCTTTACATTTTCATTCTTATCATATCCTGTTATGTAAGAAATTGTAAACTCTCTCTCTGTCTAATTTTATTGTAATAGTTTAAATTAAAATTTGCTTTGTTAGTAAAAAAGTAGGAGTATATTTCATAATAATCATTGATAATCATGATTATTTACTAGGGATGTAACAATAACCGAAATATCGTGATATCGTATCGTTAAGGTTCTCACAATAATATCGTGAACCATCACAATATATTGAATTACAAATCTCTTTGCTTAAATGAAGAGTTATGGTGCAGCAATAGATAATAAAAAAGACAGAGGGAACTACATAGACCATGATCCTTTGCTCCATTTCAGTGTAGACTACAAGAAGAAATAACAGTTCTAACACTTTTAAGTCTTATTTCTTTGGGTTAAGTCTTGTCAAGGCATTTTAAAAGGAAAAAGCAGCATATTAACAGTTTTGGCCAGGAGAAAATTCAGCTTGCCGACTGGACAAAAGTTCATTTGGTTGAAGACTTTTCGCAGCTTCTTCAGCTCTGGTCAGATGCTGGTGGACACTTCCTTATATCTGTCTGCAGGTAGGAGCTAACTAACCTCTCTGAAACTAACACACCTGCTTGTTTACAGTTTCTGTTAGTTAGTTAAGCCTATTGACCTGTACTGTAAACAAGACAGAGTAGTTACTTAGCTCCTCCCTGCAGAAAGATCTAAGGAAGTGTCCACCAATATTCTGACCAGAAGCAGCTTGGATGAGCTGAGATGAGTTGAACGTCTTCAACCAAACTAACTTTTGTCCAGTCGACAAACTGAATTTTCTCCTCGACATGGATTCTACCTGGACGACTGAGGGATTCTTCACACATTTTATTAACAATTTTGTTCGCCTCCACAAAATATCACAATAAATATCGTACAGAGAGATTTGGATCGTGAGCCTTCATATCGTGAGCTTTCCCACGATATCTCGATACCGTGATGTTCATACCGTGACGATATCGTATCGTAAGAAAAAAGATGCAAAAAAAAAAAGAAAAAAAAAGAAAAACAAAAAAAAAAAGTACAAAATTTTTTATTTTTTTTGCATCTTTGTACTGACTTCCCTTCCCAAAGAGCACCACTGAGTTGGATCTACTGTGTATTATCCTCTGGAGGTCCAGGAAGCGCTTCTTCTGAAACATTTTTTATCGTATCGTGAGACTTGGATATCGTTACACCCCTATTAAAGGTTGTATGGAGGATTATTTTTTGTTTCAAATTGTCAATGAAAGTTTAAAATACCATTACAGAGATGCAGCAGCTTTGTAATTATGATGACCAAAAAAAAAAAATAATGAAAATCTATCAACTGTGGACGTAGTGAGGCCAGATAAACATCAGCCAATAGAAAACGAGGCTCCCTCTTTATCTCTTGGCTGTTAGGTTGTCAGTCAAACTCCCTACATTTCTAGTGTAACTGACTCGCCGGCGTGCGGGGATTATGCAGTAGTTCTTAGAAGCTTTTTCAAACTGTCGCTTCCTCGCATTTTGCACAAATTTTGTTGCGATGGCGGACGAGAATCCACAACCAGTTCGCCGCAAAAGAAAGTCAGTTTTTGAGGTCACTGGAAGAAGAAGAGAAGGACAAAAGGAGCAAAGCCAAACTGAGGTGATTCTTGGAGATCTGTTCCAGCGATGGCGCAAATGAAGCCGACTAAGGGTCTAAAAACTGATGCGTCGGTCGCTAAAATACTTCTAGACAGGAAACTTCAACAGTAATTCTGAACACACACTGGCTGTAAACAAGCGTGATTTCTAGAGTAAAGAGGCGGGGGGAGATGTTTCTACTGAGGGAGCTGTGGACGAGGAAGGTGGTGTCACGCATGCACAAGGACTGTAGCTGTATTTCACTTCCCTTCAAAAAATCCTCTATACAACCTTTAACACAATTAACTGAATTCATTTGGTTAATTTCCCATCCCAAGTGCATGTTCTCGCCTTGTCTGCGTAGCTCTATGTGCTCAGTTTCTCACCTCCCTCCAAAAACATTTCGGTAGCATCCTAATTTTTCATTCTTTCACAATGCGTATGCCCTTTTCACAACTCACAGAGACTAGAGTTGCTGCGCTTCCTGATTATTTTGTGATCATTTTTTAAAATAGATTTAAAAAAATAGATTTTGTGAGGTTTACTACAGTGTAACTACTATTTGTGTGTAATCTAACATTGCTGGGATTTAATTCAAAGAAATGAAACTTGCATTACGTCAGTCCCACATTCTGAACCCTCAGTATCACAGATCTATAGCAGGTGAATGGAGCCTTCCTGTGCACTGTACCCACTGTTCCTCTGCAGCAGTGGAAATGTCAACGTCGCGGGGTCACCAGAGAAATAACAC